TCCTCTGTGTGGCTACTGACAGGCTTTAGAGTGACATTCAGGATGGGACCCAAGACCAGGGTCTAAAGCCACCCCTGCAGACAAGGTGGTGTGTTGCGTGCTCCCTGTTCTGCCACCACTACTTACATGAGACCGCGTCCTCGATCTGCGTGACGTTGGCGAAGTGTGCCGTGTTGGGAATGCCCAGGCACCGCATCCCGTGTGCGTGGCGCCACTCCTGCGGAGGAGGTCAGTGTCAGAGGGAACGCCACATCCTCCACAACGCCAAGCACCACTAGGACATTAACATCTCAACAGGGTGCAACACATTCTGCCCCAGTACAAATCTACCAGTCCTAAAAGCCTCTACAACAGTATTTTTCCCTGAGCCACCCTCAGGCATGCTGCACCCATCAGACCTGGGCGCTGGAATGGGAGGCAGGGGGCAGCTCGGGGGCCCAGGGGCTCAGCAGTGCCTGGTCCCAAGGCTGCCGAGCCCAGCAGGCTGTGCCCGCAGCACGGCACTCACCGCGAAGTGCCGCTGGAAAGCCTTGGGCCCGCGGTAGGTGTAGTTACCACAGATCTCGCAGTTGTAGTTGATGTTCAGCCCATGGAGTTTGTACAGCCAGTACGGGATGGGCTGCAAGCAGACACGAAGGTTAGGCCACGTGGCAAAGCGGCTCGGAGAGGGGAGCGGTGTGGGCTCAGTGGCCTCTCCCACTCCTCCTGACCCAACAGTCTCTATTACCTTCCCGTCCCAGCCCAGGGGCAGGTTCTTGGGGTTGTAAATGATTTCATTTTCTTCGTCTTCGCTCTCACTCTCACTGATCTGCTCCTCCTCCTCCTCCTCCCTCTCCTCCCCTGTCCGTGCCTGCTTACGCTGCACGTTCTCATGCGTGAGGTGTCTCTGCTCCTGCAGTGAGACAAGGAAGGGAATTGTCCACACGCTGCAATAGCAACAAAGTCCGGGCAAACTCTTGCAGCGAGAAACTCCCTCAGTACACAGAGCGAGGGACCAGTATCAATCAGAGAACTCCCACCTGACTCAGGTTTTAGCACCCTGTCGTTCCCTACTTGCAAAGAATGAAAACCTTGTACCACCACTAGCATTCCCGAGGTGACAGGTAACAGCAGTGGCATCCTGCTGA